ACAACATTTGAAAGCTTCACAGAAAAGTAAACAGATTTCTTTAATTAAATATATAAAAAAATACTTTTTTTGGGAAAGTTTTTAAAAATAAAAAAAATACAAAATAGAAATAAAAGTAAATTTAATAAGTAGAGCTAAAGGTCTAAAATACCAAAAAGTGTTATCAAATAATCAGAAAAATGCAAAACCTTTCAGACTGAGAAAAACCCCGTAGATCTGAAAAAAATCATAATGTAGGTTAAAATGTGCACCGACTATAAGTAAAAGCTAAATACTCGCCTTTAATCCAAGCCTGAAAGTGATATCATACCAATTATGGTCTAGAAGTCATCGAAGCCGACTTTTCTTTTCATTTTTTTTTAAGTCGAGCTCGAGAAACAGTATTAAGAAAAATGTTAAATAAAAGATTCAATACACCGTTGCCTATGCGAATGTGACACATTTGTCGCCTGTGCCTGTGCATGATATGAACTAATCAACAAAGTGTTTGCTTAGCGGTTAGCCGCATGATAAGACAGCAGCCAACCGACAGCCATGCCCCAAACGCCTCCGGCCAGCTGAGAGGCTACCCTGCACCCGCCCCCGCCCCCGCCCTGCCCATCCGCAGCATACTCATCAAAGTAGTTGCCATAGATGGCAAAGGTCAACAGCTGCGAGTGCGACTTTCTCAGCACCAGCTGCACCTGGGTTGCACGCTCGCCGCGCCACGCCCCCTCAGCATCGGGCCGCACGGACCAGTCGATTTCGGTGGCCTGCAGGGCGTACAGCGCCCCGCTCAGCGTGCTGGGCATGAGCAGGCGTCGCGGCCGCTGCACGAACTCGCCGGCGACACGCAGCCGCCTGAAGAGCACAGCTGCTCGAGGCTCTGGGCTTGGCTCCGCCGGCTGCTCGGCCAGCAGGCCGCAGCTGAGAACGCTGTCGTTGCGGCAGGCAAAGAGGCCGCACAGCCGGACCACCGTGTACTCCTCCTCCTCGTAACGGCGCTGGCCGACAAAGACGCCCAGGCGATAGTTGTACGTGGTCCGGGCCGCTGCCTCCAGCTCCATTTGCAGCTCGAAGTCGCAGCAGAGGTCCGCCTGGCAGAGGCGCTGCTGCTGCAGACTGCCATTGAGCAGCGGCACCTGCCAGCTGTTGAACTCCTCCAGCTGCGGCTGCTGCAGCATCGCCAGCTGCAGCTGCGCCGGACCCACGCGCTCCGCGTCCAGCTCCAAGGCGCTGCTCTCTAGCCGCGGCCAACGTGGCACGCGGGCCAGCAATAGCTGACGCTCGCCGGTGGCTGTGTCGCCCACCATGCGCCGGACGAGAGCGCCGCGACGACCCGCATAGATGCCGCTGCCGCTGATGCCGCCGTGGGGCAGACTGGCGCCGGCTGCCAACAGATTCACATTGTTCGCCCAGGCCCAGCCCTGCTGGAACTGGCTGGCTGCAAGTGAGAAGAGAGAAATTGTATATTAGTTCTGATTCGCAGTTGATGGGGTTATAAGGAACTTACAAGCAAGATATACGGAAGTTAAAAGAAAGACAGCAAATGATTTGCAAGAAATTTAAAAGGAACTTAAAAGGAAGATAAAATAACTTATAAACTTACAATTAAGATAACAGAAATTTAAAAAAGCAGATAGAATATATCTTAAAAGAAGCCACAAGGAAGTTACAAGGAAGATGTAAGGCACTTACAAACAAGTTACAATCACGTTACAAATAACTTACAGGCAACTTATAAGTTGTCGCAAAGTACTTACAAGGCAGATAGAATTAATCTTAAAAGATGTTAGTACTTACAAGCAAGTTACAATAACGTTACAGGGAAGATACAAAAAACCTTTAAAGATGTTAGCAGCAGGTTACAAGGGTTACAAGGTCACAAGCAAGTAAAAATTAAGTTGCAATGAAAAAGAAACTAAAAAGGGAACTTAAGAAGAAGAAACTAATAAGAAACTTATAAGATACAAGTTACATAATCACAAAGAGGATCAAATTACTAATAATGCGTGTGCATAACAAAATACGCTTAGTATTTTTTACTCAACTTATATAACAGCAATGAATTCCTCTCGTTACGTTATATACTGCAAAAATACTGCAAAAACAATGCGTTGTTAGTATTGTTCGTGATTCTACCATGTTAGAAATAAAGTTTTTATTAAACAAAAATACTGTAAATTACTGCAAATTCATATATTGACAATCATTCTGAATATAAATGTATGTGTATTGAAAATACCAGAAACAGTATTTTTTAAGTATTTTGTTCCAGCTGTTAAATACACAGGCAAACATACAATTAAACAAATACATCAGTTTTAATAAAATATTGTTAGAAAAATGATTATGTTAGTATTCTTAAAATACTGCAAATTTTGGTGTTTTTAGTATTTTTTTCAATTAATAAATTTTAGAATAGTTCTCTAAATAATCAATACGAAATGTAGAAATGTTAAATGTAAAATCTTCCTTAAATAGTTTTACGAATTTTCTATTTCAAGTGAATAGTTACTAATTAATTTTAATATATGAATATTAGTAATATATACTATATTAGCAACATTTAATTTAATGTTTGACATTTGACATACAATATTAAATGTTATTAAATAAAATTATATGTCATTTTAGTAAATTAACTATTTAGCAACTGTTATACATATTTGTGAATAGTTCACAAGCGAGTCGCAAAAAAATACTGCTCTCTTGAGTATTATTGTTTATAAGGGGTATACTAAACTTTATATTATTCAGTTAAGATCACAAAAGTTAAGTGTGAAAACCGGGAAGTGGGCAAAGATATAAACAGTTTATAGTGGAATAATCCTAAACGAGTTAGTTTTTCTGTTATCGAAGACCATGTTTATAAAGTGCAAACGTCTAGACGCAATTCAGTGTAATTGATACCCTGTACCTATAGGGATGTGCACAATAGGGTAGCATGTGTACGATAGTAAATAGCAAAATGTTTTTCATTTCAGAAAATATTTTCTAAGTAGTTATGTTTTTAGCTAGATCTTTTTTTAAATATGAGAAATATTGGTTTATAAACGAGAACATTTTTGGAAATTTCGAAAAAATTTCTAAAATTTTAGGGAACATATTTTGAAGCGTGTTAACTCTTTGATGTTAAGAACAGATAGATAATTATAAAAATGTGTTATAAAATAGAATTGACTAGAATGCAATATGACAGAGTATTGTTTAAGAGACTTTATATCTAAATACAGGGTATTTCTTAGCCGACTACTAAGCTGAGTTTTCGTTTTGCTTACTGATATGCACTCACCCGTTAGAAAAGGTAGCTCCGACTTGAACATATTGCTGACAATCAAATGCTGCAGATTGTAACGCTCGACCAGCTCCTGGGCGGGCGTATAGAAGAGCATATCGAAGCATATGAACTGGCCGAAGGTCACATTGAAGTCCGTCTTGAAGATGGCGTATTCGGGCGCCCGGGTGCGATTCAGCTGCGGCTCCAGATACAAATTCCATTTGCGATAACGCGACACCACCGCCCCACCGCGATCCAGCACCACATTCGTGTTGTACAAACGATAGCCGCGCGCGGGGCAATCGTTGTCCGGCGCACAGTTCTCCCGCTCCTTGACATTGACCACCAGATAGCTTTGGGCGACCAAAGCGGCACAGGCCAGTTGCCGCAGGAAATCATGCAACTCATATCCGGTCGTTATGTGGCACAGGGTGCGACGCGAGGGCGCTGGCACCGCCGTCAACTGCAGCTGGCTGTTCAGTGTGCCCTCGGGAAAGACGAGTATATCGGCTGTGCCATTGGCCGCCTCAATAAGCTCCAGATAGGCGGACAGATTCTCCTGCAGCAGCTGCTCCGAGCTGCCACCGGTCAGCGCCGGGCGAAATTCCGCCACGCCCGCCGTGTAATACTCGTCGCTGGCTGCCCCACAGCTGGCCAGCGCGAGGCACAGCAAATGGAGGTGCGACCACAACTTGCCACACATGATGTTTCCGTCAAACTGCGCGATCAGGTCTTCACTCTGCCTCCCTGCCACACAACACTCTCCCACTGTCTCCCTCTCTCACACTCTCACCCTCTCTCTGTCTCTGTTAATATTTCTATCTAATCTCTCATATCTCTCAGCCGTCGTCTTTTCTTATCATCTCTTGATTTCGCTTTACAAAGCAACTCTGCATCAATCGGAGACTGCATACTTTTAGGCATATTTTTTATACTCATACTTATTCTTTCATTCTGCAATGTAGAACTATTTAAATTCGAAAATACATTTTCACAATTGATGGACGATTTAAAACCATATCCTCTAAGCTCTTACGGCATGAACTCTGTATTAATCATCAATCAGTCCATCATACACACAGTAAATCAGCCAGCCTGAAAGTCAATCAATCAATCAATCAGACACTCAGCTAGTCAATCACTTAGTCAGTTAGTCAGTCAGATAGCTGACAGGTCAGTCAATCATTAAATAAGTTACACAATCAATCATTCAATCAGTTAGTCAGTCAATCAACCATTCAACTGACTGGACTAGCTACCAGCTATACTTCGGAATAACTAACTAATTGAACATCTGTGGGTCACTCAGTCATTCAATCAGTCAGTCATTCAATCAGTTTATTCAATGAGTTAATCACTCAATCATGCATTCAATTAGTCAGTCAATCATTAAATTATTTAGTCAGTCACTCAATCAATCATTTTTCCAATTGGTCTCTTAATTGATCTTGTATACCATCATTCAATCAATCAATCAGTGAGTCAGATAATCATCTAGTCAGTTACTTAGTTTCTCAATCCGTCAATCCGTCAGTCATCTATTTACCTAGTCAATCACTCAGACAATCAATCATTCAGTTGTTCAGTAGGTCAATCATTCAGTTAGTGATTGATTCGGTGATGATTCAGTTAATCAAAACGAAAAGTTGTCTGTAAAATGATTTGTTGGTATTACCCCAACATAATATTCAAATTGATTCCGTGAGTCGGGTCGCAATTTATTGAAATCGGTTCGAAGACAGAGAAATTTCACAAAAAAGTTGTCTACAATGTTTTTCACACTAAACGTTCCAAATTTGCATAAAACTTAGCTTTCTTGAAGCCAGTTGATAAGCCAATAAGTATAGACACAAATATATATATATATATAGAGTATATGTTATATGGATCAATCATAGTTGAACCTAATATTTTGGATAATATGATATTTTGAGTAATTTATGTTGTTCTAGCAAGCAATATATTTTTAAGCAACGCGCACATCAATAAGGACCTATTGAAGATCCAAACTCTTCTCCGCCTGGATTGAGTATTTTTTTTTTTTTTTTTTTTTTTTTTTGATATTTTTATCTGCCTTAATTTCCTAAGTAAGACTCTGGGCAATTTTAGCCACGGTCCAATCGATACACCAAGATAATATATACTTTTCAAAGTTTCAATATAGTTTCGTCCATGGCATAAACTTCTTCCCTTCAACGATATTCCATGGTTCAATGAAAATTAGAATGGACTGCTTAGCTGCTTAGGTTGAAAACCATTCCCAAGGCCAGGAGCACGTACCACTTAAATCCAACTGAGCGCAAAGCTGCGACACCATCACCAGTGGCCAAATAGCCACATTCGCGATCCTCTTCCGGAGTGCCCTTGCCAAAGGTGCAAATATCATCATAGTAATTCCCATAGATGGCAAAGGTCAGCAGATTGGAAAGCTGCACGGATTCAGTTAGGCCGAAACGCACACTAATCTGATTGCTGAAAGAACGTAGGATCCCAGATAAAGGAATTCAGATAAAGGCTTTCAAAGCAGGAGATATCTAAGCATAGGATTTCAATTGAGTGGGACGTAGGATTCTAAAACGGAGAGTTTTCAACGTAATATTCTAAAGAAAGGTAGATCAGAATATAGAAGTTTGACTGGAAAGTGGATTGCCTTCAACTTAGGATTCCAAAGTAGGGAAGATTCCAATTGTTGGAATTTTGATGTCGGATTCCAAATAGGGCACAATTTAGGTGTAGGATCTTATAAGTAGGTATAAGGACGTTGGACTCCATTTGTAGGATTCATAATATAGTAGCGCAGACGTAATGGCTGAAAAGTGGAGGATTCCGACGTAGGATTCCAAGGAAAGGCATTCACTTAGGATTCGAAGCGTGTTCAAATTCAGACGTTGGATTTGAAATGTTGGAATTCCAAGTGGGTTCGAAATGTAGGATTGGAAAAGTAGGATGTCAATTGAAGGAATTCAACCTAACAATTGCATTTAAGGAAAGTATACGTGCGAGCTGGACTTGGAATGTAGAATATATATAAGGATTTCATATGTTGGAATTCAGACTCCAAATGTGGGATTTCTTTCATAGGATCTATAGGCTAGAAGCACGAATGTAACACTTGCTATCTATACTCACCTTACGACCCGCTCCACCATTGACCACTTGAACTGCGGCGGCTCCAGGGGCATAAAGCTGTCGAGGACACTGTTCGGCATCAAAAGGAACTCGCGCGATCTCGGATACTTGGCTTCGATGATCAGGCGTCTAAAGTTGACACGCGATTGCTGCGTGTCCAGCACCTGGCCGCAGTCCTCAATGTCGGGTCCACTGCAGGCAAAGATGGCGCAGTTGCGCACATAGTTGGCATCCACCTGCTGCTCATTGCGCCAGCCATCGTAGGCGCCCAGCCGAAAGCCGTAAAAATTGTTGTCGGCTGTGCCCTCTGGCAGTTGGCTCCACTGCAGCTCGAAATTGCAGCACAACATGCCATGGCAGACCTTCTGATTCAGATTGCCCTCAGACTGTTGATACAGCTGCTCCAACCAGATGCTCTCGTATTGCTCCAGGTAGTCCCGTTTCATTTGAATTCCTGAATTGCGTCCGTGACGCATCTTCTGCTCCAATGGCGCCTTCAAGGAACGTTGCGGACGCTGCGCCTTTATATTCTTTGCCATCTGGTATTTGGGCACCTTGGCCACATAGATGCGACGCTCGCCTTCGCCCCACTTCATCACGCCGGTGATGGTGCCGGCGCGTCCATTATAGATGCCAGTTCCGGTGCTGCCGAATTCCGGATGACTAGCGCCCGCTGCCAATAGGTTGACATCGTTGCTATAGGCCCAGCCCAGCTGCACTTGGGCGGCTGTGTGATTAAGAGAACGAGTATAAGAACGAGATAGGATGCGAGAGAAAACCCGATAGAAATGTAGATAGCGATCGATATAAAGATTGAAATAATAATTGAGATAAAAAAACAAATAACGATAAAAATTGAGATAGAGATGCAGATAGAGATAGAAAAAGAGATAGCAATTCGGATAGAAATATAGATAGAGATAGAAATAGAGATGGAGATAGTAATACAAATAGAAATAGAAATAGAAATAGAGATAGGAATAGAAATAGAGATAGTAATAGGGATAGAAATTGCGATAGAAATAAAGATAGATATTGAGATAGAAAGAAAGAGATTCCGAAAAAGAGTGACTGAGTGAGCGAAGAGTGAGAAAGAAAGAGACTAAGAGCATACTGTTAGATCATGTAAAGTGTAAAGTTGAACCCGTTTTGAACCAGTTTTGAACCTGGTTTGAACCAGTTTTGTCTCTGCTCTGAGCCGGTAGTAACAGTAGTAACAAGTTCTCCTGTAGCTTGAAGCTGACTGCAAGATTGAATTATTTCGAGCTAAACTATTGGAAAACCCAAAAGTAAATTCCCTTTGAACCGGTTCAGCATAAAAGATCTTGTTCATATCCCAAGTAGGCAGCTCATTTAGTTTCCAGTATTTATATCAATACTTTTAAGCCACTTTACCAACACTGGAAACCACGTTCAAAGCTCTTTCAAACCGGTTCACGCGCCTAAAGTCTGAATACGTTCAATTAACTTTAAGCACATTGGATTCAAGCCAAGGACTCACCTGTGAGAAAAGGCAGCTGGGAGAACCACATGGTCGGATAAATAAAGTCGCGAACGCCTTGTTCCAATAGCATCTCATGGGCGGGATCATAGAACAAGATGTCAAAGCAAATGAAATGGCCAAATGTCACACCGAAGTCCGTGTCGAAGCTCATCGGCTCCGGCACAAAGGTGCTGTTCCTCGGCTCGCCATACAGATGAATCTTACGGTATCTGGAGACAATGGTGCCCTTGCGATTGAAGACCACGTTCGTATTGAAGACATTGTAGCCAGTTGGGGCGCACGGACGGGTATCCTCCGGAGTGGCGGAGCACAATTGCCGCTCACAGATATTGATGACAATGTACTTGCTGGCCTTGCGGGCAGCGCACGAGATGCTGACCAGAAACGGGGCATAGTAACTGGCAGCGGGATCGTCGACACATGGCGATAGCGCCTGCTCGGGCTTTGGCAGAAAGCTGAGCGTATCCATGCCATTCAATGTTAGTTCCGGAAAGACAATTATATCCGCAGTTCTGGCCTCGGCTGATTCGATCAGCTCCAAATAGCCGGCCAAGTTATCTGCCAAATTTTCATTGGCATCCTGGCCAATGGCCTGACGGAACTCCACAACGCCGGCCGTATAGAAAGCCCCTTCGTTCGGCTCCGACAGGTTCTTCTGCAAATGAGAACACGATTAGCGATTCGATTGTATCACGGCCAAAGACTTGCCGCCACAAGCCCACCTGCTGACTCATCCCAATGCCGGCCAACAGCAGCAGCAGCGGCAGCAGCGGCAGCGGCAGCAGCTGCAGCGCGGGCAACTGCTGCCGCCGCGTACTGTTAACACCTGCAACATTGTTGGCCATCTTTTCGATTAGCTGTCCCTGTCTATGTTGCTGCCTTGCGCCGCGCCAATCTTCAACTGCGGCACGGGCAGCGTTTCGGCGCGGCTTTTATAATGCCGGCAGTAGCCATACCCAAAATACAAAATCATTAATCTAATCAGCGCTCGGTTTTATACCCTGCAGCCATTGACCATGGAAGACATAGAGCATTATGTGGGTAACAGACAGGCGGATATATATAGCTTTATGCTCGATCGGGCTGACGAACCCAGCTAAGAGCACAAATGTTAAGTACCTACACGTTTCTCTTGCCATAAACTTGATAAATATCGATTTTGATAATTGGCATATCTCAAGCATAACTCGAAGATTATAGATATAGATTTTCATATATGATATATACAGATAACAATATATAACTCACTTTTTTGATACCTTCACGCATTCTTCCTAAAATTGCAAAAAACAAAACTATTAAAGATAGAGCCTTGCACCTTGATATGTCCACACTTTTGTATGCCATATTTGATACCTGAAAGTCTCGTATGAATCGCACTCTTGCCACCGGAGTTAATCGAGAATGCGTTGTCCAAGCTTGCTATAGGGCAGAGGGGCAGAAGCAGAAGCGCCGCCCAGTTTTCTTCAGGGTATCTACTAGTCGGTCATAAGACGCTCGTAAATATTTTCTTTTTGCGCGCGCGACGACAATGTTTACGGGGTTTTTCAAACTGATCGCTGACCCCCGCACAGTGGTTCACAAACGTGTGCAAAAGAAAAAAAAAACAGGGTTTGAGCCCGTTTATCCGCAAGGTTCCAAGGCACGAACGGCTCAGGAACTAATTAAGCAAACCTTAAGCGAACCTTTCTTGAAAGTTCGAATGTTTCCTTTTTTTAAATTTAACAGTTATTTAAAGAGTTAAAGTTAAACATTATGACCAAGAATATATAGATGAACATAATCCCAGATTAAGCTGACAATCCCAAAATAATGATAATGATTTTTTCGCACACTTCGACCAATGACAGATACACAATTATACGGCCAAGCCATTTCGCAGGTAAAACTCAATGTTATACCAGTGTGCAGTGTCTTCAATTGGCCAGATTATTCACAATTACTAGACACTTTATGAAAAATCAGTCGATGATATTTATTTTGGGGGGGACTTTGAGTTATATATCCGAGTTTCATGCCTATGCCGAATGCCTGAATTGATAACTCAGCGTATTTGCGGCTTGTACATTGGACAACAGACCCAAACAATATATTTTAGAAACGATTTCAATTGTTATGCACACGTTTTTTGATAGCCAAACGGCCACCGGCAATCATCCGATATAATGTGCGATTTACGATCATTACGGTCACAAATACTTTCCCTTATCAAGGTCTGAATGGGTGTCTGTTGGCGTTTCTTATCAGTCATGCACTCGTTGCCTTCTTTATCTTAATCATATAACGTTTAAACGGCCTTAATCAATGGTTATTATTTTAATTTCTGTTTTTTATCATCTGTTTTGATGTACATTATCCAATTTGAAAATTGGGCTCAGCTCCTTATCATCTTTTAAGTTTTTAGCCTCTATATAGGTGTTATCCATTTACCCTATTTTATTTTATTTTATTTATCCGCTCTTATCCCTAAGGTCTTTTTTGTTGCAAAACCATAAATGTAAGTTTTACTGTCATTAAAAACACATTATCCGTGCTTATTGCCTCCAATCCGTGCTTATCCGCACTTATCCGCACTTATCCGCACTTATACATATTTATCGAAATGTTATCTGACTTATCCATAGTCATATTACTCGGGCTTATACATGCTTGTATCCTTTTTTATCCAGTTTTATCCGTTGTAAATCAAACTAATTCCAGACCCTTTTTATGTTTTTAATAATCATAAACACATTTTTTGCGTATACATGTCAGTTTGGAATTTTATCCATTTTTATCCAGTTGTACTCGTTGCCAATTAAACCAATTCCAGGCCATTTCCGGCGTTTTTATCACCATAAAAACTATTTTTACGTTTATACATGGTTGTATCCATTTTTATCCAGTTTTATCCGTTGTCTGTCAAACAATTTTGCATCACTTTCAAGCGTTTTTCATATTCAAAATGGCATTACTCGCAATTATACATGCTTATATCCTTGTTTATCCGGCTTAATTCGTTGTAAATCAAACTAATTTCAGATCCTTTTTATGTTATTTTTAATATAGAAGTAAGTATCGAATTGTATGCACTTTTATCCAGTGTCATCTGCTGTCAATGTAACAAATGCAAGACTTTACAGCGATTCACATCTGCTACCAACTTATCTATCCCTTATTTGCTTATTTATTCACAATTCTTAGCAACTTTCTCGTCAAGTTGCGCCGCAAAACTGACCAAATTTTGACGCTGCATCCTGTTTTTACATTGGAATTGTCAGCGCAAACGTGGGTTTGGCTTCTATCGTCATCGTATTGTGCGCAAGTACGCATTATTCACGCTCATTCGATTTGAGCTGCTTTAATTTGCATAGCTTTAAAACATTCGTCTTTGTTTTGCATTCAGTAAAAAGCCTGCCAATTGTTACCGGGCAATTCTTTTTCTTCTGGCTTACAATTTTTAAACTTCTTAATTCTAAAACTTAAAGTGACGAATATTTAATCCATTCTTTACATAATATGAATGTTTGTTTTACTAGGCAGCAAATAATTTGAGTGTATTGGCACAGGCATTAAAATATGACTCGTACACGTGACTCTACCTTATCCATTTATCCGCCTCTACTTACAAAAAGTGGGTCCGCCTTTAAGGCTCAAAATTGCAAAAATATGAGTCTTCCTCAAGTTACACATGCATACGGGGATATCCGGAAGATATCCGGATTTATCCGATTTTATCCGATTTTATCCGGAATTATCCGGGATTATCCGAAATTATCATTTTCCATTTGTAATGCCTTTCACGATTTATCAAACTAACTTTAACCATTTAAACTTATATCGAAGCATTTTATGCATACATTTTGTTCAACATCTTGGATTTTAGCCCAATCCCAGCAAGAGTTTTGCGGCGCACGATTATCGTGCATTTAAATACTGATGCACATTGGCAGCCCCCAATGAAACACCAGCTGCTAGCTCCAACGTTTTTCTTTTGTTGTTTTAAGCTTAAGACGAGCTAAACTGAAAACACTTTTTCTGCTTATATATAAAATTAAAAAAATAAAGTTTTAAGCATTTCTTGGTCATATATTTTAAATACGAAAATTTACCCAAGGGAGACGAGCCGTGTGCACATAGACACACACGTGCACACACGGGGTGGCTGCTCACTTTATGCGAAGGCTGCCATAAAGAAGAAACGAACGGTAAAACACGTTAAAAGGTAAGACGTGAAGGCAAAAACAACAACAACAACAAAAAAGGCAAGCGAAGGCAGCTTCATTTAGGCTTTGGCCCCAGCCTAAGTCCCTGCTCCACATATGCATAACCAAATGTGCGAGCATGTGTGCGCGTGTGTGTGTGCGTTGTGTGCTGTGTGTGTGGTTGGCAGCCGGGTCAGCTGAGTGTGCGAGTGTGCGTGTGTGTGTGTGTGTGTGTGTGTGTGGGTGTGTTGCTTGTTGCTACTTATGTTTAAGCTTTGTATTTAAGCTTTTTGCACGATTTCCTCTAACAAATGGATTTTCACTTGTTGCCCCCATCTATACAGATGCACGTGTTTATATGTATATATATATGTATATAAATATATATATTATATGTGATATATATACACATGTGTGTGTGTGTGTATGTACTATAATCTGTGTGTCCTTGTTGTCATGCTCGTTTCTCTAGATGCCCTTCACGGATCCCTTTGGTCGTCGCTTGCTGCCACACGTTTTGCTGCTAACAAATAATTTAATTTCTTTTGGGGCATCTTTGCTGAGCACCCGTATGTGTGCGTGTGTGTGTGTGTGGCTGTGTGTGTCCAAGAACTTGGCCAACAAGTTTAAGAGCCAAGTCGCATTTGTGGCTTTGGCTGTGCACTCGTCGGTGGCCGCAACAAACTACATATTCGCCTTTCCAGCTCATAATTTATATTAATTTATTTAATTATTTAATATTTATACTTGAAATACTATAAAAATAGAAAGATAAAGCCTAAAAGCTCAAGCAGAATACAACAGTTTCGAATTTTCCCTTTGCTTTGCGCTTTTGAAAACAATTGAAGGTAGAATATTATGTATAGAGAAAGAGAAGGAAAACTTGTTATAGATTAGAGCGAAAAAGGAGATACACAATAATCAGTGAAGATTATATTATGAATTTTGACCAAGATGAAAAGCGAAGCCTTGTGCAAATCGATAGAATTCGAGCGAGTTATCAGTGTGGGAAATTTTGACCTATATAGGATATTAGGATATTTGTCTATATAGGATATTTGAACAAGTTTCACCAAGAATAACGTTGCCAGATTTGAATGCCAAATTGATCTGAAGGCCAAACCATGAACCAAAAAACCAAACCTCGTGAAAATCGGGGATCAGCCTGATATTGATCAGATGCTGCTCAGATGGAAAGACAGAGTTAGGTATTCAAAATCAAAAATGGGGAGCTGCATATTTTAAAGGCAAAGAATCTTCAAAAGAAAATAGAAAATGAATTATTAAAAGTGCAGGTGCTTTACCTCAGGGCTAAGAAAAGCTGAGTTTTAGGCGATTTTATTCAATGTTATGCAAATATTCTATATAGGCAATTGCATTTGCTTCTACAAAAAATATTGAAAACTTTACAAGTTTCGCTACAAATTTCGAATCGATCTAAAGGCAGCATTACCCAATGCTGAGACTCTGCTCTGGCTCAATGTTTCCTACAGTTTTAAACAGTTAAGTAAATAAATTTAGAAGAGACATTATTTCGGGCAAATATTTGAGTTTGAGCTTTGCTTTATGCCGACAAATGAATTTGAATTTCAGGCTGGAATCGGTTTAGTTTAAATGCAGCCGAACTGCATCAAATTGAATATGAACTGAACTTGATGCAGGCCTTAAACTGTTTTGTCTGCGAGCACAAAAAGCTTAAGAGAGAGTTGACACAGACAGTTGACACGCACAGACACAACACGCACACACACAATACACACACAGACACAACGCACACTTTCTCCCACACACAGCCCACAGAAACACCTAAAGTGCAGGTATTTTGCATGTTACCCAAGTGAAGGCGACATAGTACACAACCCATCATCGTCATCGTCATCGTCATCGTCATCGTCATGATATCGAATTGCAGCGCATATGACGGCAGAATGTCAACTCTGGCCGCAGGCGCTGCCAGATTTTTGTCAGCTTGATTAATTGCAACCTGTGGCGGGTCTGGGTCAGCGCGAGTTGGAACCAAGGTCGGGTATCTGTGCCCTTTGAGTACCTACTCCCGCTCCCCTCTGAAGGGCATGCAGGCAAAGCAAAAATGTTATTAATGATGGCAACTCTGGCGGCTGTTCTCAGCCGTTCAGTTAGGCTGCATTTGACATAACTCATACGACGCGTTGTCCGTGTAGTAAACC